AAAATGCCAAAAAACCAGCCTGACAACGTACCTGTGTGGTGGAAGGCCATTTGGTGTTAAAGTATTTAGGTACTCTTCCTGGTAATAGCTGTTTGTATCATCCTCTGCAGAGTCGAAACTAATAAACGTCTTACTTTCGCCAGGAAACTTGGAAATTAACATCTCATTTAGTTGATCAACATATTCATTTCTGCTTGCTAAAATAGCTCTTTCTGTCATGTATTTGTAGCAACTTGCATATTTATCTAATGACGGAAATATTTCTCTTATTAAGCAGTCTTCAGCAGTAGTATTAGCAATATGTTTGACAACTATTTCTTCTGGAAGTTGTACCAAATCATCTCTTATGGTTGGTTCCTCCCCGTCACCGATGCGTAGTAGAAAATCACTGAATGCAGGATCTGTTCTTGCCCTCATATTTCTTGTTAACTTAATCTTTTCCATTTTATGCCACAAGTACGATTTTACTAAGCTTGTATTTATTGTTTCAGCTCTCGTAGATTTTGGAACTACCGGTAGTACCTGTCGAAAATCACCTCCAAAAATCATTACCTTGCCTCCAAATGGTTCATTGTTATCCATTATATCTCTAAAGCTCCTATCAACAGTTTCTATTGTTTGACGCTTTGCCATAGGCGCTTCATCCCAGATTATCAACTTTGCTTTTCTTATCAATTTTGCACTACCACTCTGTTTTGACATATTTGTGATTGTCGTATCAGTTGTTTGAAGTGGTATGTCGAATCTAGAGTGAGCAGTACGACCCCCTGGTAAAATTGCTGCTGCTACACCACTTGTTGTTGTTGCTAGTGCTACCATGCCTCTTGATCTGACATTTGCAAGTAATGCACGATAAAGAAAAGTTTTTCCGGTTCCTCCAGGTCCATCTACAAAGAACAATCCTGCTCGTCCAGAGTCTACTCTTTGCAATATAGTCTTGAAAGCTTGCTCTTGTTCTGCATTCAACTTTGATTGTGCGTCAAAATCTTCTGCAGGTACCTTTATAGACCTTTCTTCAATTATTTCACGGCACTCTGATGGACTATTATTATCCAGGTCCTGATTAGCTGCAGGTATGTCATAATTTTGAATTCTCTTGCCCATGCTCTCTAAGAAATATTTGATGCTTTTCAGTGTGCATTGTAGTTGAGTAGCAGGAGAGTTATCATGTATCCTTCTAAAATCCTCTGACATGTCCTCGTAATATGTATCCCACAACTTTCTAACATCCATTGGGTTACAATGAACCAAAATAGTTGCAAATAAATTTCTGAGAGCTAATGGCATTTTGAAGAGTACTGCCTCACGTAAACATTCTGAGATGCTGTTGTCTGACTCTAATAAACCTCTTTCTTTTGCAGCTTCCTTGATTGTGTCACACTTTTTTTCGTTAACAGTAAGTAAGTATTTGACCGAAGTGGGTCCTTTGACATGATTCAACAATAATCTCAAGTAATACCTTTCTCCTTCTCTGGGGTTAGCTATATCATTGAGAGAACCAAAATAGATTAAATTAAACAAATGTGAAAATAGTATTAAGATCGCAAGCGTTAAATGACTTACCAGCAGCGACGCGACCAATTACTGATCTTGTTTTCCTTTTTGTCCATATCTTGCCTTGAGAGTTCCAAACATAATGCTCTGGAAATTCTTTGTATAGGTAAGCTCGTGCTTCGGTGTCTTGTGAGCATTTCTCAAAATATGCGCTGAGCATGGTACGTGTGGCGTAGTCCCAAGCTATAACATTTTGTAAATTTTGCTTGCTCCAATAGCACACTAATTATTGGTATTACATTAGAATTCGCGTAAACGATTATTTGAATAAGTAGCACAAGCACAGAATTGACCTCTTCAATGTGTTTTAGCAAAGAGAAAACAAATAGTGTCATTAAATTTTACAATACGACACTAAAGTAAGAACACAATTCCTTACGCTATTTTCCAAGGTTAGAATTCTAAATATGTGTACTATTTTGTATGTTTCACAAGACAATGTTATCTGGTGATTTCTTATCCCCATAATGACTCTATTCCCTCTCTATAAAATGTGAAAGTTAAATCCTCACTTAGACACAAATTAATAATCAAGACACATAATTTAGAAATATGGCTAAGTCTTAATTAGTTAACTACACTGTCTTTCTTGCTCTCTTATTTTGCTTCCTCATTGTATCAACTGGTGAGTGTCTACCAATCTATAAATACTACGTAACACTATTTGTCTGTTGTATCAGGGGTGGAAATGTTCATTCAAGTAAAGCATTGCCATTGTAATACTCAACAAGGAAGATAAGTTTTGTAATAAGTAAAACATAAAGTAAATAACTGATATAAATAGCTTACCTAATTGTTTATTAGGGAGATGTAGTTGAAGGTTAATGACCGGAGGTTGCATTTCACTGAGGTTGAATTCATAAATTCTCCATAATGCTTCTGGCGGAGATACCCATCGTGCATCTTGAAAATTTTGAATTTCATCAATGATTTTTTCCCCATCATCTGACTCAATATAAACAGCACACCTATCATGTCCTTTGTATATATACTTGTAGAGATACTTTATTGCTCTCACTCCGGAATAACATTCTACATTAATATGACTATTGTATCTAGTTAGCAAATAAGGATTATACGGAACAACCCATTGGTTGTTCATTCTTATACCACGAACATTTGCGGTCTTTCCATCATTTCTTCTCCTGTAAATAGGGTATCCATCCTTTCCTTGTACTGATTTACTACTAAACGGCCGAGGATAGTGATTCTTGCACTGACCATCCTTCATGCAGGGACTTGTTGTACGATAGTTTCCACATGGACCATGCATCATATGCTTGACAACCAATTCATACAAGAGTGGATAGTCTTCTTTATCAGGAAGTTCAGCAGTAATAAACTTGTCATATTGGTCAGCTGATGTTATCTTGTGTCCTTGTTCAAGTATTAGGAGAAGGTGTATGTGTGGCAGGCCTCTTTTATGGAATTCAACTACAAATACATGGGCAGCAACCGGGCCAAATATTCTTTTGTTGAAAATCTGATCTTTTAAATCTTGCAACTTTGCCCTAAAAACTCTAGTAACTAAGTCGGGTCTATCTTGAGGTAGTTGTCCTGGGTACAAGTTCTCTTGTATCTCCGTCCATTCAGTATTGCATGTCATTGTTATAAATAGATCTGGTTTTCCAAAACGTTGAACCAAAGCCATCGCATCGATATACCGACGACGCATATCCCTAAGACCTCCGATAAATGATGCTGGAAGTATTATTCTCGTACCAACTTTATCTCCTCTACATTCTC